CATGTTCATTTTGAACATCGTTCTTCTTGAACGTAGGGACTGTCTTTTGTTAGTGTTTTCTCGGCACCTAGTTTGTTATGTGGCACAGGTAGGCACTTGTCAAAAGAACATTCGTCATCGTTTAGTGAAGATGAAGGATGTTCAGGTGATAGTCTTTTTTATATGAATCCTTGGTGTTAGGTTACTCCCTGTGCCCTGCTACATTGAGAATTAAAAAACAGTGAAGTCCTGTGAGACTTGAGATGAATAAACATCCAGCTCTTCTGTATACGTGGAACTTCATCTTTATCCTGAATTTCTGTTATGAAGCATTATAGGTCTGGCTCCATGATCCAATATTCACCTCAGGATTTTAAAAGTTTTTTTTAAGTACATTATCTTTAAAGTTATTGAAATGTGATAAAGCAACATCATCTTGTTTCTTTTAAAAAACGATTTTGAAAGCAAAAACGTTAAGAAGTAACTATTAAAACTTAAATTTATATTGTGTATATTGAGCAGAGAGTAGAAGTTATTTCCAAATTGAGATGCAGGAAGCTTTAAAATGCCTGTTCATCCTTTATCAGCATTACTGAATGAATCAGCAATTTGCTCAGGTCAGTGAACTTTATTTTGAACTGTAACAATAGTTTCTATTTCCAAGAATATAGAAAAATTCATGTGTGACATAGGAATCTGAATTTGGTGTTAAGAAATTAACAGAATTTTAGGTCTGGAAGGCTGTGGGTAGGTCTTATATCTTACTGTTCAGGTTTGAAAAATGATAGAAGGTGACAGATGTTAGAAGGATGTGTGCCATTCTTACCTGGTTTAGTCATTACTTAGTTATTGTTATTTGGTAAAATTGGATTATTGACCACTTAGATGGCTTTCAGAATTAGGAAAATGGAATTTCAGAACAACTTTTTGTAGTGCTCCATGCTAATGAGGCCAAGTTCGGGTAGTTGTGTTGGCTGTGTTTATAGTTGCCAACCTTTGCTCTCCTTTGGCCAGTTGCTCCCAGAGCTGGGCCTCCCTTTTGCTCCTCCTGACTCTGGAAAACCTATCCAAGGAATCTTCTCTGAGTACTTGGCTCAGCGGCATTATTCCCTTATGTATTGGGATAGCTGACTGCGCTGTGTTTGGAAGATACAGGTGATTGGGGTTCTGGGTTTATCCTAAAAATGCCAAGTCATTTGTTCAGAAGCAAGTACCTGCATTGGGCCAGGTACTCTGTTATATGCTTGAGTTATGGCAGAGAACAAGTCAGGCAAGGTTTTTACATTTACTCTGAAATCTAAAGGTGAGGAGTTAGTCAGCTGAAGAGTAGAAGTCCAGGGAGTGGGGAGAGCATGTGCAAAGGTCCTGAGGTCAGAAGGAGCTTGGTGCCTTTGGGCGAGAAGGAAGGAAGGTCAGGCTGGAGAATAGTGAGAGAGGGAGACAAAGGCTTTTGAGGCAAGGCTGGGTTAATAGAAAACCCAACCAGGCAGGTCTGGAGGGCATGCTAAGGATTTAGAATTGATCATAAGAAATTGGAAGACATGGGGTTTTCAGCAAGGGAGACATTGATATTGGGGAATAAATTGGAGAGGATCAAGAGGGGCTTGAGAGGGCTGAGGCTTTTGTTATTTGTATTATTATCATAATTAATAGATAATATTTATAATTTGTTTGCTTTGGGCCACTGTGTTCAACCCTTTACCCTCATTTTCTTCATGTAAACCTCACAACAGCCCAGTGAAGTGTTGCTGTTATCCTTGTTTTACAGGTGAGGAAAACAGGACCCAACCCAGCAAGGGTTAAGCAGGTTGTCCAAGGCTGTATAGTGAGTAAGTGGCAGAGCTGGGATTTGAACCCAGACAGCGTATGATTCTAGACCCTGTTCTGTTAGCCAGTGGGCTTGTGTTCTCAATGTATGAGGTCATGGTCCATTATTGGTTCTTGAAATTTGAGTGGATCACAACTGGAATTATTTTTTTAATAGAACAGAGTAGAAATTAGACTACTTTGCACTAGTAAGGATAAAATATTGATATGTGAAATTTTGTGCCACTTTTCATTTTATATATTTGTACATGTGTGAGCTTGTAAGACATTGCAAGAGGATAAACAGCATTTGTCTAGGCAAGAGCAAGTGTGATGGCTTGGACTGGAGTTGTGGCATGTAGACGGAGACAAATGGGTCTCAGCTGTAAGAGGTCGAGGCACCAGGTCTCAGTAAGAGATTGGACACTGGGGCCGAGTGTGGGAGGTGTCAGCTATGAGTCCCACGTCCCGGGTGGCTGTTAACTGCCCGATTCTCAGCTGCAGCTGATGGGACTTGGTGTTGGCGTATGGCCCAAATCTGCAAGCTGACCAACTTATGAGCGAGCCCGTCACAGAAAACAGCTCAACAGGAGGGTTGAGCCAAGAGTAAATTCTCTCTCTTGAATTTGAGGCGAGTAGTGAGCAAACTGGTGGCAGTGGGCCACACAAACACATGTGGCCTAACAGCAGCTCTAGAGTGAAGGTATAGGAATTGGTCTTTGTTTTATGTGAACATATCTCTCCATTTATTTAGGTGTTCCTCAGTGTCTTTCAATATAGTTTTTTTAAATTGAGGTAAAATTGGTATATAAACATTATATAACCTTCAGGTGTTTACCATTATAATTCCACATCTGTGTACATTACAAAGTACTTACTGCTAAATCTCTAGTTACCATCCATCACCAGCCATACAGCTGACCATTTTCATCTATTTTGCTCACCCCTAACCCTGTTCCCTTCTGGTAACCAGCAGTCTGTTCTCTGTATATACAAATTTTATTTTGTTTTTGTTTGTTTTCTTTTAGACTCCATATATGAGTGGGATCATACAGTATTTATCTTTCTCCATCTGACTATTTACACTTAGCATTATACCCTCAAGGTCCATTTGTATTGTTGCAAATGGCAAGATTTCATTTTTTTATGGCCGAGTAGTATTCCATTGTATATATATACCACATCTTTATCCATTCATCCATTGATGGACATTTATGTTGTTTCCATATGTTGGTTATTGTGAATAATGCTGCATTGAACATGGGGGTGTGTATATGTTTTCCAATTAGTGTTTTCGTATTCTTTGGATAAATACCCAGAAGTGGAATGGTTGGATTATATGGTACTTCTATTCTTAATTTGCTGAAGAATTTCCCCACTGTTTTCCATAGTGGCTTCACCAATTTACATTACCACCAACAGAGTAGGAGGGTAAGATTTGTATAGTTTTAAGGGTTTGCAAGGCAGAGGATAGGAAAGAATAAGGAGGCTGGGGACTTGTGCAGGGACATAGCAAGGCATGTGGTCAGCTGTTGAATCTGGCTTGCCTGGGGAGGGTATACAGTTTCAGATAAAGTGGAGGGCAGTGGTCTGTGTGGTACCACACACACAAGATACATAATTTCTTTGAATGATGGTTCCTCCCCACTACTCCTAACACTAATTCCTTGTGTTGAGAGATGAAATATTAAGACCCATTGCTAAAGGGAATTTACTACCCTCTCCTATGGGCACAACCCAAAAGTCGAGGTAGTCCTAGGACATGATTTTGGAGTTGCTATGATTTCATGTGGTATGCTGAATCAGTAAATGATAGGTTGTGATTCTTGACCTTCGGTAGAGTTTAACCACATAGTGAGAGATTTTACTGTAGTTGACTATTTCTGAGGAACTCAACATTTCAGCTATAATGAGCACCTTAAAAATAAACACATAAGTGAAATAGAATTCATGGATGCACTTCATGTGTTTGTTACTAAGACACCCTGTCTTTGAGGTGGAATTCACCCATGATTTGGGCCTGGTCTGTCTGAACTTTAGTAGTTCTTACTTCTCCTTTCATTTTTGTTTGGAGTATAGCAACTGAAAACAGTAACATTTATTCAGTCACTGAACATTTGTGGACCTTCACATTTCTGGCAGTGAATAAGGTGTCAGAAGAGCAAAAGTGAACGACACAGGGATGACCCCTGTGAGGAGCTTTTCAGCCTCCACTGTGGTTGCCATGCCATGGTGGGGTGTGCACACACACCTCGGGGTGCTCACTGCTGGCCATTGGGGGCCGGAAGAAAATATTAGAGCTTCTCTTTCAACGTCTTACGTTCAGCCTCTGTGTGTTTTATAACATATGTAATATATAAGAATGGTACATGTCTGAACTATATGGACAAACATACATATATTGGGGCTGCCCTTTTTTTTTTGCCAGTAGTATGTATGGATCAAAAAAAGTTTGGAGGCTACCGTATGTTAGTATGTATTTTTAAAAATATACATTTTTGATAACATTCTCTTATGTTTTAGCATTTTGAGAAAACCAAGAGTTTCTGTGTATGGTAAACCATGTTCTTAACGGTGGAGTAGTCCTATTTGTTGCCTACATTTTGTCGTGTCAAGTAAGACTTGTTATGTGAAAAAGACTCATTACTAAGATCTGGCCTGACAGATTTGAGGCTTTCAATCAAGGGAAGTCCTTTTCTTCTTCATGTTGGAGGGACTTTACCTTTTGTATTACGTGTCCCTTGTTCTGAAGCCCAAAGTATGACCTCTGGTGATCGGTACACACGCCCATTAATGTCTTAAAGCAACAGGATTGGGATGCCACCCAGAAATTTCTCGGCTGCCCTGTTTGCTCTTTGGAGCTATTTTCTCCGTACAAAATGTCTCATTTTCAGAGAGCCCTGAAATCCTTGCTTCAGAAAGGTCTTCCCTCCCTCACCCTAAGAACATTTTTCCTAAAATTAGTTAGAAAAACTCCTTATCAAGAACCAATTTTAAATGAGGTAAAGTGAATAAATGCTTCCAGGCTCTCGAGAGGCTGTTGTTTTCAGTTGGGTTTTAGTGATGAGTATTTTAATCGTTATTTGCTAGTGTCACTTTAACAAACCTCTTTACCAGGGTTTTCTGCGAGTGACACCTGGCCTGTGTCTTGGCAGGATTAATGACCGTCAGAAGCATGCTCTCTCGGACCCTCCCGACGCCACCTGTGACGCAGAATGTCGCTGGGTGAGAACGCGGTGTTCGCCTACGAGTCGTCAGTGCACAGCGGCCACGTGCTGCACAGCCTGGACGAGCAGCGCCGGAAGGACGTGCTGTGTGACGTCACGGTGCTGGTGGAGGGCCAGCCCTTCCGCGCCCACCGCGCCGTGCTGGCTGCGTGCAGCGCCTACTTCCACTCCAGGCTCGCGGGCCAGGCCGACGCCGAGCTGCGCATCACTCTGCCGGAAGAGGTAGGAGAAGTCGTCCTGATTTCAATTTAACTTAATTAAATCTCTCCTGGTTTATAAAGTTAAAAGAAGACCCAGTCTCCCCGTCCTCAGGCCGAGGAGCAGTTCCCGGCTTGTGCAACAGCACATCGCTTTAACTTTCTTCTTAGAAATGATGACGTTTTACACGTAAAATGATTAACTTTGGATGTGTATGAATATTTGTTGAGCAGTTGAATAACTTGACCCCCTGTAATTTTATTTATTTGTTTGTTTGTTTGGCTGTGCTGTGCTGCTTGTGGGATGTTAGTTCCTATACCAGGGAAAGAACCCAGGCCCTCGGCAGAGCACAGAGCCCTAACCACTGGACTGCCAGGGAATTCCCACCCCATTGTTATTTTTAATGAAACGACCCAGCCAGTGGATTATAGACATTCAGAGAGGCCATGCTGGGAGAGGCCATACCGTGTGCTCTTCTCTCCCTTTGGACCTTTTTCTGTGATGGGAAACTGACAGGGATTAGGGTTCTCTAAAACATCCATTTCTCTAGGACCCGCCCTCATGGATATGGGTTGGGAGTGAGTTGCAGGTGACAGCCTCCCTGTGATGCTTAGTTTTATTGTTTTCACTATGAGTCAGAGCTGTCAGATCTATTAGTTTTTCAAGCAGCTGTTAGATAAGGATTTTAGAATTTGGAGGAAACCTAAAAGATTATGTATTCCAGCCTCCTCATTTTGTCTACATGTGGCTGTTAGGTACCCCAGAAGTGTTCTTTCTCTCCCTTTCTTCTTGAGATTGTGGCTATGCGTTGGTAGAAGAAAGGTGATTTTGTGTCATACTTATAGAGCCTTGCCCTTACACACCTTTCGCCCACCAGCCTGTTGTGGAGCTCACGCACCTAGATATTTAAGTCCTTGTTACCATCCTGCCTGCAAGAGACCTCTCTGGGCAGGAGTGCTGGGTATACACTGACTCTTATAACAGCTTGCTTGATTTCATTAGTAACTACATCTAGAAGAATGCTGAGCCTTGTGGCATTGGGACACACATTAGAAGTTGTTAAAAGGAATTTGGACAAAGTATGTAGAACTTCTGTGTGTACGACAGGTGTGTGGGGGCTGCTCTGTGATGACACTAAGTCTACAATTTACCTTATCGCTGGCTGTGTGTACATACATGAAATTGTAGCTACAGTTTGGGGAAGCAAAAGGTTGTCAGTTCTGTGGCAGAGGTCAGAGCAAATAATATGATAACCAAGACAACGACAGGAAGGGCCAACTATAGGTTAGCCATTGTTTTTTAAAAAGTAGCAACACGTATCATAATGGAGATATCCTTATTATGGTCTGTAGTTTCAAATTACTTAATATGACTTTCCAAGTAGAGAAAAATGTGATTCATGTGCATGGAAGGAAAGGTATATATATGCATGCATGTATATGTATATGCATTCATTCATTCTAATTTGAATGTAAATCAAATTTTCAGATATTTGAAGTGTTTCATCATAGTGACAGATTGAAAAGATCATTGTGTAACTCACTGTCTTAAAAGCCTCTTGATTATTTTAACTTATTTAAAAACTTTTTAATTGAAATATTTATTGAGATAATTATAAATTCACATGTAGCTGTAAGACATAATGCAGAGAGATCCCTTGTTGCACTTTGTCCAGTTTCTTCTAATAGTAACATTTTGCAACATTATAGTACAATATCATAACTGTCAGGATTCTGGCAGTAATACAGTTCACCCATCTTATTCAGACTTCCCTGGTTTTACTTGTACTAAATTGTGTGTGTGTATGAAGTTCTATACAGTTTCATTTTCTGGGTGGGTCCATGTATCCACCACCACAGTCTGAACAGTTTCAGCACCCACCCAAGGATCCCTTGTGTTGCCCTCTTATAATCACACCCACTTCCTTCCTGCCCTCTGTCTGCTCTCCCTTACCCCCTTGCTCCACTCCTAATCCCTGGCAACCACTAATCTGTCCTTTTCTAAAGTGTTGTCATTTCAAAAATGTTATATAAATGGAATCATAATAGTATGTGACCTTTTGGGATTGGCCTTTTTCTGCTTAGCATAATTCCTTTGAGACTTATCAAAGTTGTATGCATCAGTAGTGTGTTCCTTTTTATTGTATTCCCTAGGGTGGGTGTACCAGTTTTTATTTAGCTATACACCTATTGAAGGAAATCAGGCTGATTCCAGTTTTTGGCTGTTACAAATAAAGTTGCTGTGAGCACTTGTACAAACATGAGTTTTCATTTTTCTGGCATAAAAGAACAGGAGTGCAGTTGCTGGGACATAGGGTGGTTGCATGTTTAGTTTTAAAAGAAACTACCAAACTGGTTTTCAAAGTGGCTACACCATTTTACATTCCCACCAGCAATATATGAGTGATCCAATTTCTACACATCTTCATCAGTATTTGGTGTTGCTATTTTTTATTTTAGCTATGTAAAAGCTAATTAAGTACTCCCAGTTTAGCAGTATTTTAAGATCACAAAAAATTATATATTGATCACTCTTATGGGAATTCAGTGTTTTAATATTAATTTTGTATTTTGAGCCCAGAATGAGGCTTTCCCTGTACTACAGTAGGTTTCATTTGCCCCTCACTTTGCAGAGGCAGGTTCAGTGTAAATGTGCAAGTTTCTGCTGAAAAGTTTTATTACCTAGAGTCCATGGATCTTTGCTAAAACAGTACTGGGCATGAGTTTTAGACCTTCACTTAGATCATTTTTTAAATCTGAATCTTTAAAAGTTTTATTAGAAATTTTTGGCATGAAATAAAGATAATAATTACCATTTACTATGCATTCACCATGGACCAGGACTACATTAAGTGCCTTGGATATATTGTTTTCCATCCTTAAAAGTTTCACTTTTGTAGTTTATAGCAGTTGTAGTTTATAGTTGTTTGGAATATAGTGACCACATGGGGCTGGGATGGCAACAGACACCTGGCACTTGACTGTGTGTTGCAGATTGTATCCATGTTGCTTTATTCCATAGATGATTTCTTTCAGCTAATGTGGAAAATTGTGGTAATGTTTATATCTTTACCTCATATGAGTAAATCATGCTCCATGGGTCATTAAGAGTGGAGTCTATAAAGTGAAGGGTGTGGTCCCAATGAACAAGATGTGAGAAGCATGCTTTTCTAGATCTACCCTTAGCTTTACATTTCCTAGAAGAATATTTTTTCTTACCAAATTAAAATACCTGTTTTGTAAATATCGTAAAGAGGTTACTCATCTTGCCACCCTCCTACTTCTCTTGTACTTATCTACTAGATGGCTTTCATGTGATGCATTTGTTTTTCTTTTGTATATTAACAGGTGACAGTTAAAGGATTTGAACCTTTAATTCAGTTTGCCTACACTGCTAAACTGATACTAAGTAAGGACAATGTGGATGAAGTGTACAAGTGTGTGGAATTTTTAGGTGTACCTGATATTGAGGAATCCTGCTTTCAGTTTCTCAAATACAAGTTTTTGGACTCCACTGCAGACCAGCAAGAATGCCCAAGAAAAAAATGCTTCTCATCACCCTGTCAGAAACCAGATTTTAGATTTTCACTTTTGGACCAGAGGGATTTAGAAATTGATGAGGTAGAGGAATTTTTGGAAAATAAAAATGTTCAGACTCCTCACTGTAAACTCCGTAGGTATCAAGGCAGTGCAAAAGTATCTCCTCCTCTACAAGACAGTGCCAGTCAAACATGTGAATCCATGTGCTTAGCAAAGGATGCCGCTCTGGCTCTGCCATCTTTATGTCCCAAATACCGAAAATTCCAAAAAGCGTTTGGAACTGACAGAGTCCGTACCGTGGAATCCAGTGTCAAAGACATTCACAGTTCTTCTGCTCAGCCAAATGAGACGTCTGAAAATGAGTGTCTAGGAGGAATCCAGGACTGTGCAGATTTGCAGGTGATTTTAAAATGTGAAGAAGGAAAGTTAGCAATGGAACATGAAGAAGCCAAGAAGAAAGATCCTGCTTCTCAGTGCCCATCAGGAAAAACAGAAGCGACTCCTTTTCCCCTCACTTCTACAGATCCCCATGGGCTCTATTCTCTGTCTCTTTTACACACGTATGACCAGTATGGTGACTTGAATTTTGCTGGTATGCAGAACACGACAGTGTTAACAGAAAAGCCTTTGTCAGGTTCAGATGTTCGAGAAGAGAAAACTTTCGGTGAGAGTCAAGATTTGAAATCTGACTCTGGCCCCAGGGAAGATAGTAGCCTCGCCTCGAGTGATCTGAGCAGCGTGGAACGAGAAGTGGCCGAACACCTAGCGAAAGGCTTCTGGAGTGACATTTGCAGCACGGACTCTCCTTGCCAAATGCAGTTATCACCTGCCGTGGCCAAAGATGGCTCAGAACAGATCTGCTCCCAGAAACGGTCTGAGTGTCCCTGGTTAGGTATCAGGATTAGTGAGAGCCCAGAACCGGGTCAGAGGACTTTCACAACGTTGAGTTCTGTCAATTGCCCTTTCATAAGTACTCTGAGTACCGAAGGCTGTTCTAGCAATTTGGAAATTGGAAACGATGACTATGTTTCAGAGCCCCAACAGGAACCTTGTCCCTACGCTTGCGTGATTAGCTTGGGAGACGACTCTGAGACGGATACCGAAGGAGACAGTGAACCCTGTTCAGCCAGAGAACAAGAATGTGAGGTGAGCGGGAAATGAGTGTGTTGTTAAGTCATTGTTTTACCACCGTTAATTGGGATTAATGTGTCAGCTCCTGTTGCATCACTGGGGATGTGAGCTGGCTCAGAGAGGGAGGAGGAAGCCCATACACAGTTAATTATACAACCATGTGATAAATACCAGGAGTGCGTGATGAAGTTTGAAGGACTTCTGTGTTCATTTATTTCAAGTAGGTGTATTTATTTTGTTAACCAGGTTATGGATTCACACGTTGGCTGTTTAACTGTTTAAATCAAATGCCAGGTCCTGAGAGGAAAAAGAAAAATGATTCTGTAACATTATGTGATAACTTCTGGTTAAATACAGCATATATTCAGTCTTATTCACTGCCACATGGATGTCTAGACGTGGGACTAGTCACTTGGCAATGGCTGGTTGTAAGAATGTGGCTTCTGATCCAGAGTTTTCTTTCTTTTTTTTTTTTATCGCCCCTCTTTTTTATTTGAGTACAGAACTAGTTAACAATTTTTAAATTAATTTTTATTGTAGTATAGTTGATTTACAATGATGTCTTAGTTTCTGTACAGCAAAGTGAATCAGTTATACGTATACATATATCCACTCTTTTTTTTTTTTTGGCGGTACGCGGGCCTCTCACTGTTGCGGCCTCTCCCGTTGCGGAGCACAGGCTCCGGACGTGCAGGTTCAGCGGCCATGGCTCACGGGCCCAGCTGCTCCGCGGCATGTGGGATCTTCCCGGACCGGGGCACGCACCTGTGTCCCCCTCATCGGCAGGCGGACTCTCAACCAGGGAAGCCCTATCCACTCTTTTTTATATTCTTTTCCCATATAGGTCATTACAGAGTATTGAGTAGAGTTCCCTGTGCTATACAATAGGTTCTTATTAGTTATCTATTTTTTTATATAGTAGTATGTATATGTCAATCCCAGTCTTCCAATTTATCCCTCTCCCCACAGAGTTTTCTTTACACTGTTTTCTCAGAGCTATGAATTTTTTTCTTATTGTCCCTTAGTTATTTCATCTATTAATTTAAAAGAATGTCTTAATAATTTAACATGAATTACATGTAGATGGTATGGTATTACTCACACTAAGCTTGATCTGTGTACTTCGTGTACAAATGTTTGTATTTGATAGATGCTTTTTTGTAAAACATTACTATAGTTCCAGTAATAATAAGGGCATGTTAATTCTTTATCATGTTCTTTGGTTTGATAGCTGTTGGATGACATAGTTTGAAACAAAGAGGGTTTTTTTACCCTTGGCTGTGGAAGGAGGTGATTGGTGGTTTAATTTAAGAAGTAATATGTATGCATAAGTTACATCTGTAGATTTTTTTATGATATTTATAAATCCAGTGTTTGGAACTGTGAAAAGAATGTTAAAAATAAAACATTTAAGAAATTTTAGAGTGTTTTGTGTAACTAATTTCTCTTAGCTTGAAAAACTAAGTTACCACAGAAGCTAACCAGTGTTTCATTTGTGTTTTTGATAATTAATACAGTTAAACTGTCCCACAGTTTTGTTATGTTTTTAAATTATCTTCTTATTTTTTTCAAATTTAAGTATGTTGAAAATGACTTTAAAATATTCATAAGGTTTGAGCTTCCCTGGTGGCGCAGTGGTTGAGAGTCCGCCTGCCGATGCAGGCGACACGGGTTCGTGTCCCGGTCCGGGAAGATCCCACATGCCGCGGAGCGGCTGGGCCTGTGAGCCATGGCCGCTGAGCCTGCGCATCCGGAGCCTGTGCTCCGCAACGGGAGAGGCCGCAACAGTGAGAGGCCCACGTAACGCAAAAAAAAAAAAATATATATATATATATTCATAATGTTTTTCTAACCGTTTCTACATTGGCAAGTGAAATGAGTTATGTGAAACTACCATTTTCCTGACAGAAAAATAAATTTTCTGAAATGCTTTAGAAATTACTAGTGTTAATATACCAGTATTAAATCAGTGCTACACAGTAATATAAATCAAAGAATAAAATAGATTTCTTTTTTTGGTTTGGGTAAAAATACATTAAAAATACTTTAGAAAGAGCCTTAAAGATATCTATGGGTTATTAACATGCCCTAGTAAAATAATTTAAATTCTGTTTTTTCATCTTAAATACATTAATATTTGTGTTGATAATGTTTGATTTGCTGAAAAAAATCTTCTCAATTTGTGTTCTGAACCCTCTCTAAAATAGAATCGGAATATCAATTAAATTATGTCTTTTTATAAAGGATTGTTATGGAAATTGGAAATAGGGATCTTTTTTCTTTTTAACGTCTAAATGAAGTTCCTTGGAAAACATAGGTGCATATCTTTCTCTTCCTAGATTTAAGTAGGAACTACAAAATACAGCAACTACTAACGTTTATTTCACCTTCTAGGTAAAACTACCATTTAATGCACAACGAATAATTTCGCTCTCTCGAAATGATTTTCAATCCTTGTTGAAAATGCACAAGTTGACTCCAGAACAACTGGATTGTATCCATGATATTCGGAGAAGAAGTAAAAACAGAATTGCTGCACAGCGCTGTCGCAAGAGAAAACTTGATTGTATACAGAATCTTGAGTCAGAAATTGAGAAGCTGGTAAGTAAGCAAGTTTCTTCTTATTCTAATTCCAACAATTCATTCTTTTTTTTTTTCAGACAGGAAATAGCTATTTCAATTCCTAAGTCAGATATAATGCTCAATTATACATTAATTTTTAAATTTACCAATTATCATTTTAAGAAAATTATATGACATTTTCAGAAAGCTTAGGAAATAAAAAACAATGAGGGTTTTCATAGACTATTTTACTTGAGTAAGTGTTCTACATATTTAGCATGATATACAACCATATATAAGTTGAGGACTATTTCTGTGTGCTTTTAAAAAAATGATTTATAGATTAAGGATAATTTTACCATCTACCTAATTCTTGGTGGTCGAGTAAGGGTTAAAGATATTAATAAAGCACTTTAATCTCTTTGTGCTGTGTTTGGTGTCTATAAAAGCTGATGTTCCAGTTGTTAGTTTTAATAACTAGTAACTTGTTTTGGTTGATACCAAAACAAACCAGCCAACTTGGATCTTTCATCTAAGGGAAAGAATTCACGTGCTGGTATAAATTGAAAATTTTAAGATCTAATGAGATCCTGAGTGAGAAGAATGCTTATTTTATTGAATCTTCTATTCCGGCATCAAAACACAAATTAACCCCAAAAGTAGATTAATTTCCACCCATGTTTTTCTGCACCCTAGTGGTTGATAGAAGGAAACATTGTATGAAAAAAGATAACTGATAGTGCAGGCCAGCTAAAGCTAAAAATAAGTTTAGAGACATCAGGGAAAAAGTGCCTAGAAGTAGTAAAAACATTCGTTGAATGTTCGGTTTTGGGTCTTTGTTAATTATTGGTAAAAGTTTAAAATTGCGACTGTAGCAAATCTTTAAACATGAATGTTCCTAGCTATGAATAGTAAGTAAACAGCAACAATTTAGAAAAAAAGACACTGCCTTTATATGCCTTCAGAAAAGTGGAAAAATAAAAATTTGTTATTTATATAGTATTGTGATATACTTTAGGCAAAAAGATGAAGATGTTTAACTATATAAAAAGATGAAGCAAACTGTATAAGGAGATGAAAAAGAAACCATATGTTTTACACATAGAGGCGTGAGAGATATTAAAAAACCTATATGATATTGCTGAATGATTAAGAACAGAGAAGAAAAGTGACAAATTCAGTAACATTTACCCAGTACTCTTAGGGTGTGTATCCGTCCATACCTATAAGCACTAGTGTCCTTTCTTATTATCCAACTTTGGATTAAACACTTACCTGCCTTCATACAGAGTACAGCATTTTAGCTTTAGTTTTTATTCTGTACTGTAATACAGAGATGCTTTCTAGACTGTTGGGTTGTATAGTGCTATTTGAAATCAACATTGAATAAACTTGCACTACTGGAGTACTACTATACCTGCTTCTTTTAGTTTTGTCTTCCCCCTCAGCTAGTGATGATTTTTAGCTGCCAGTAGAATTTATATGGTTTTCTTCCTCCTAAAAGCAAACAAAAATGAAAACAAAACAAAAAACCCCTTTGTATCGATTGAGTTTGTTTCATCAATAACTTTATTTTAGACATGTACTATGCAAATATGTTGGAGAGTAACTATTACTCTTTAGAACTAGTCTATTTCATGACTCATAGGTCTTATTTATATTTTTTGATTGCAGTCAAATGTTGGATTGCTAGACAGTTGATGTTTTTACTGAATTTCAGGTATCTAGGATGAAGAGGTCTTGCGACTTTCTTTGGACTTTCTGCTCCCTCTGCCTTTGCTTCAACAGAGAGCAGTGGGAGATACAGTGGTTAAAAGTGTGGGATTCTGTGCCTGTCTGTGGCACTTTGTAACTCCGGGCAGGCTGTTCAATTTCTCTGTTCCTCAGGTTTCTCCTCTTTACGACGGGATAATACTAATTCTTGCTTTATAGAGTGGGTATTCATTTTTGAAGATTAAATTGAGTTAATACATCTAAGCACTTGGAAGAGTGCCTGGACATAGTAAGCACTCAATAAATATTACCTTTTTCTTATTATTATTGCTATACTGTTATTTATCAATTTTCAGTTTTCTCTCCCTTAATTGCTCCTTTCCTGATGTCTCTGCCTAAACTGTAAATTCTGGGTTTGGACCTCACCCTTATGTTGCCTCTCTCATTATGGAAAATTTCCTTTCATATGGTCAGTGGAATAACTCTTGGTTAATCTCCAAGAGAAGGGAATATTTGGTTTTCCTGCAGTTCTTATGAAATAAGAAACCAGAGTGGTCAGTACCCTATTTACCTATTGTATTAATTTGGACTCTTTGGTTGCAAGAAACAGAAACCATCTGAAACATGAATTACTGAATTTGTTGTAAGAATTTACGTGTGTCTCAATTAGAAGCCAAAGAATGGAGCCAGGCCTCGTAAATAGTGTAGAACAAGAACGTAGAAAACTGCCAGGAACCCAGAGAACCTTCTCTCTGGCTGTGTGTGCCACCAAGTGTGTGTGGGAAGAGTGGCCACAGCACAGCTCAAGAATAGTTTCCCTCTCCTCCAGAGACCAGTCCAGACAGAGACTACAGTTCTAGTTAGTTCTAAATTCCCAAGGAGTTAGCCTGTTGGCCTATTTTGGGTTCAGGTGTCCTCTTCTGTGACTAGAGGGCAGGGACAAACAGCAGAAACAGAAAATGTGGCTGCCAGGAGCTCACATCTGGGCAGGTAGAGCAGATAGCCCGACAGGGGTCTCATTACCCAGATGTGCGCCAGGCTGAACTCGGTCTCTTTCCTCTTCTAGAATATCCCCAGGGGAGACACGGTAATTTTTTTTTTTTTTTTTAATCAGAATGATTTACTTTGTGTTTCGGCTTCCTTGAATTCTGCTCCATCCTTCATACTGCTCTCGGTTCTAGTGATTTATACAGGCAAACTCCAGTTGAAAATTATAAGAGGCATGCTATAAATTTCTGTCCTGCCGCAGATGTTTGTCTCAGATGAAAATAAGCAGAAAATATGCTACTTATTAGCTAATTAGAATTACAAGCTGGCTGGCCCTTTTCCAGAAGTAAAAGAGTTTAATGCTTAACATACTTATTACATTAAGAAGTTTACATAGAACTTAGACCCTGGTTTTTGGGTGATACTATGGACCTTGTTGTCTTTTGTAGAGAGAGAAGTTACCCCCACGCTTCCATCACACGTTCCTGTTTAGTAGTATGGAGAGTTAACAATATGGTAGAGTGGGACAGGTTTTTTTAATTTTTTTATCAGGATGTCACTTTTTGGAAGCAGTAGACAAGCAGTGTTTCCCAGTCTTTATGGTGTGGGTGGAATTAGCAGACCTATTTAAGGGAAATAACATGTTTCATAATGAAACATCCATTTTAATATAGCCAATGATTGATTGAATTAAATATTAGTAAATTCACAGTATGTCCATTTGGTATTTATATTCAGGTGCAGGGTCCCCTATTTTTGTAAGTTTTGGTCTTTGGCCTATTGACTGTGAATTTTTTGTAGTTGGTCCTAAAAGTAATAGCCTAATAGACTGTGGATGGATCAGCACATGAAAAAAAGTATAGTTATCATGTGTAAAGGGTGCTTTTATAGTCTGTGTGCTGGGAAAGCCAAAGGAAGACGTTAGTTCGAATTCAATAAATTAATGAGTTGTATTTCTCAACAAGAAGTTCTGTCAGAGTCAAAAACAAAACCTTTGAAGAAAAGGAAAGGTGTGTATTTATTTGGTTGATAAATCGATGGCATTGACTTTTTTTTTTTTTTTTTTTTTTTTTGCATTACGCGGGCCTCTCCCGTTGCGGAGCACAGTGCTCTGGACGCGCAGGCTCAGTGGCCATGGCTCACGGGCCCAGCCACTCTGCGGCATGTGGGATCTTCCCAGACCGGGGCAAGAACCCATGTCCCCTGCATCGGCAGGCGGACTCTCAACCACTGCGCCACCAGGGAAGCCCCGATGGCATTGACTTTTAATGTTTATTTGAAATTTGATAATATGTTAGAGGTTAGGCATTAATTCAGTATTGCTTTGACTATAAGGATTGAATATGCATAATCTATAAACCAAAACCATAACTTTTCTTTTTACCAATAAATATAAGATCTTGAACAAAGTTCAGGAATCATTCAACTTCTGTTATGTGTTTGACTTACAAGGCTCTTGTCTCTGTAGGATTCTTTACAAGGTCCATGTTTATTCTTTTCTGTAAGATTAATTCAGAAGTTAGAAAATGTGTGTCTCTGATACCATTTTGGCCTGAAACAAAGATAACCTTGAAATGAAACTTGCTTTTTAAAGAAAAAAAATTAAATTACCAAAATGTAATTTCTCTTAGAAGATATCAAATATTGATTGATATCAACTTATGAGTGATCAGAAATCACAGTATTCACAAAGCTCTGGAACTCAGGGTTGAGGTGATCACACACCATTTTGTTTCATTGCCCTTGTCCATTATGATGGTGTAGGAGTAAAATGACCTCATCTGTCTTTAGTGTTTTGAATTTTGTTGTGAAGATTGTATTTTATTAAAAATAAACCTTTTCTAGTCACATTTTACTGGCTGCTCTAGTCACGTGTGCACTGTTGTCTCCAAACCCTCCCATGGATTTCTGGAACCTGCCTCTGCCACTCTGTAAGGCCCTTTAGCAGCCTGTCTTGAAATGTGGTCTGTTTACCATTGGCATCAGTTACCCGGGGGTGCCCCCTCAAAATGCACTGCCTTAGCCCCATCCCAGACCTGTGGGAGGGACCCAGGAGCATGCATTTTATAAAAGTTTCCTGGGTAGACCTTTATTATGCACATTAAATTTTGAGAACCTACTGCACTAGCACACAGAAGTCATTTGGAGGCTTTGGAGTCAAACAGCTGGAAACTCTGCCTGGCCACTGGTAGCTTTGCGGCCTGGAGAAATAATTTCACCTCCAATACCCAATTCCCTCATTGATAACATGGAGATAAGAATAGTACCTCCCTCAGGTGTGGTGCGAGGATCTGATACCTTCAAGGATGGAAGGCTCTTTGTACTGCCCAGCATGTGTT